TTTTTTTTCATACCTACATTTATTCATTTGGGATCACTTGAGGTAATGTCAAACGATAAGGGGGGACTCATCAGACAATGGGCCCCTGGGCACAGGTATGCCAAAGGCTCCCCATCTCTCTTACATAGGAGCAAGACACACAGATATTACAGTCTTTTAGCCCATTTTGTGTCATTGCTTTGCATCTTTTTTGGTTTTGTGCCTCTTTGAGGTAACTTTGTTTCTCGTTGTTGTCATTTTGCATCTCTTCCTGATCAACATGTGTTCATGTGAGCAAAGTTTTGTAGGTGAGAGCCAGGGGGACCCGCTTAGACTTTGGGTCCCTGAGCCTGTTCCCAGTAGGCCCATTCAGTAAACCTTCCAGGCAAATAAGAAGAACAGTGAGTCTAAATGTACTTGTTTATCTCTGTTGCGAGTTTGTGAAGCAGACACAGAAAAAGAGGAAGCTGCTGCAGGGAATCACTGATACCATCTGTTAACTGACTGGTTAGCAAACTCTGCAGCACTGTGAGGCTGTCATCCAACACCTTTCAAAACTTTTAACTGTATTTTTCCAGTAGGCTTTCTACGCTGTTGTATCACATTATGCATTTACATCTTTAACTGTGTGTTTTTTGTAGATGCAGATTAAAGGTAACATCCTTTCGTCTGTTGGGTAATTATACAGCCAGGGCTGCTTAGTGCTGTTTATAAGACTGCACTTATAGTAAATGATTCAGTGATATGTCATTGTCACCTTTATGACTCAGAAGGTCTGGGCTCAGAAATATTAAATATAAATCAATGAATAGTTTATTTGTCACATGGAATTACACAACGTACAACTCCAGTGAAATGTGATCTCATCAGCTCCTTAACTTGTGTGCTTATGTCTTTTTTTTCTGTCTTCTTGCATTTTTGGCCGCTGCTTTATAATTGTCCATGTTTCCAGCTGGTTCTAGTATGGTTTCTGGTTGTGGAATGATTTAACGCACGCACATCCCAACCACAACAAGATGGTCGTATTGTGGCTCCGCCTGAACACGGCAATGCTCCACTGCAGCCGCCTCTGAGCGTTGTAGCAGTGATCCACAGCATAAAATTAAAAACTCCAAAATATCTCTATATAGAACTGATATATCATCTTAAACAAGTTTAAGTTATTTTGGGCAGATTGTGTTTCGCGTGGCTAAAACCACCAGTGACCTCTCATTTAGCAAGGCCTGACATATGTTACAAGTAAAATGTAGCGTTAGCACTGCTGAACAGACGCCTTGTTTGCTTTGGACAGGCGCCCCGAGCAGTTGGGGTTCACTGCCTTGCTCAAGGGCACCTTGGCTGTGCCCACCTTGGCACTGACAGCACAAAGGAGAGTTTGATGCTCTGCCTGCAGTTGCTGGGCAGACATATTTGGGTGGACTTCAGGCAGGGCTGCTTTGCGTGACCGTATAGGCCCATGACACACCAAGCCAACAGCTAGCCATTAGTCAAAGTTGGGCTGTTGGTGTGTGACTTCTGCCCTCGTCAATACAGTGTGTCCTGCACCGCTGCCCCTCGTTACCCCCCGTTGGCTCCTTTTCTTGTTTTTTTTGGCCAAATCAGCATGTTGAATGAGTGTTGGCACAGCGGAGTCCGTCAGTGAATGAAATCACTATGATTGGCAGTTCAGCTGAGCACACGAGAAGAGAAACCAAAGTGAGGAAATAAAGAGCTTAAGTCACATAAGATAAGATTATTTTTCTTTAACCATTGAGCTCTTTTACAGAAACATTTCCTGATAGTTTCTTATTGTTCACTGGCGCATGGTAAATATGCTCTGCTCTTATAACATTGGGTTATGTTGTTAATGTGCTAACTGGCTAACTAGCATGAAGACAGTCTTCCGGTTTCCCTTTTTGTATGACTATTATAGAGGACCACCATCTACTGGTATGGAGGGGTACGTCTTCTCACACAGACGCAGGACATAAGTGCTTGTTGGCCTTCGGTGTGGTGTGTTCATATACGACTTTTTGGCTAAGACACGGCAGTGTGAGGTGGAGCAGCACGGGGGCCTTTGTTGCTGCTAGTTCTCTGAAGTCAGTTTGGTGCGTCTGGGCCTTATGAGCCAGGTCCACCCCTCGCTCCTCCACAGCTCTCATTCAAATGTGGTCCCTTCTGCCTCCAAAAAACCAAGATGGCAATGAGGTTGTGGTCCTGGAGCTTTTGAAAGTAAGGTGTATTTTGCATTACTTCTCTCAGTCTATGCTTATCTAACACAAAAACTATACATTGAATTAAATGTGAGAAGCTGACAGCTAAGGGCTGTAGGATTACAACATACTGCAGTCAAACTAGTTACTTGTGCCCCAAATATTCAAATTTGCCATGTAGGAAACAAAAGTATCTGATTGTGTAACAAACAAATAGAGTATAAATAACACCAGCCAATGCAAATCATATTCAGTTTTTTGATGGACAAAAGACAAAGAAGTGATGACAGCTGCCTGCACACGCAACCAACTGGAACATGTGTCTTTCCTGTTGATTAAAGCTGCTGTTGTGATGTACTTTGCATACACTGCGTTTTTGCCTGCCTACCTTTCTTCAGAAGCATGCGCAGATTATCATGAAACTGTCTGTTATGTGATCACCAACCATATTTATTGTACACTTTTTGGATGTGAGGGACATTGGCGTTGAAACCTCATCCAGGTCGCTGTGGTCTTCGAGCTCTCAGAGGTAAATTTTCTGACATAACTTTTATTTTTCTCTGTATGTAAAGATTGATTTTAGGGACAAAGAATTACAAAGTCATAAAAATTAATCTGCAAATTGTGCAACAGCTTTGAACCGAGGGTGTACACTTTAATTCAGTTAAACCACTTTCTGGTAATTTGCTTGTTTTTTCCTCTTCTGCCCTTTAGTATGATTTTGAAGTATAAGTATGTCATTGTGTAACAAAGAGATAGTGGAGAATAAAAACATTCTGAAAAAGCTAATAAATACATTAGTAAAAGATACAGCATTTGGAATAAAGAATTAAAAAAAGAATCAGGTTTAGAAATGTCAGGAATCTGTTTATCTAGAAAATGTTTGGAGACTTCTTTTTCGTCTTTGTCTTCTTCTTATTATTATTATTACCTTTTCTGTTTTGTATTTAGTGCCTTTTCTGACCAACCCAGTGAGAGGTATTTATAGTTATGTTTACAGTTTTCAGAAAGTTTCGGGAAGAATTTGGTGGTACTGTTAAGAAATTCCAGAAACTGAGTGTCTGTATCTATTATTATTATTATCATTTTTATTTCTATTATCACCTTTTCTGTTTTGGGTTTACTGTATATTCTGGTCAACCCACAGAGAGTTATTAATGTGATGTTTATAGTTTTCCAGGAAAAGATGAGAGCTGAGATATGCAAAACAGCTTTGTGTGTTGTGACAATATGATTGTTGGTGAAAGGTCTTCCAGTAAGATACGAATACATGTATTGTTACCCCTAATTGACAACATTAGGTAGACAATAAGCAACATATTTCTTTCTATAACTTGATCTCTTAAACACCAGGTTTCACCGAAGAATGGGAGATTTCAACAATGACAGCTCCTCACAGGACGAAAGCTATTATGACAGCTACAGTGGCGACTACTACATGGAAGAACCTCCCAGCAACATCATCTTTGTTGACTCACACGATCAAATCTACATCGACTCTTTCCCTCATGATCTCCCCTTCGGCTCCTACCCCCCCACTGCCATCTATAATCATGACAACATCACCTTTGGCTCCAATAATTACAGCAACATCACTTTGGGCTCCAGTGATTATATTTACACCCCCTTTGGCTACTACGATTATAATGACGAAGCTGGATTCATCATGTACGTGGTGACGTGCATAATTATTTGCATCGGCCTTCAGCTGACCCTCATGGCCATCTACAATCTTTATTCTCTGGTATGTACATTATGGTAGGTTTATTTATTTACTGTGTGTGTGCGCCAAGAATCTTTATCTGGGTATGGGGCCCTGATCTGGTGACAGGGGGTTGGGATGAAGTGTTGCAACGATCTAAAAATCAATGGGAAATTGGGAATAACTTACTTTATAACTTAAAATGTGCATGAAGCAAATTAGACTCCAAACCACTACAGTACATAACCCTGACGCGAGTTAGCCAGTTAACACATTAACAACACAATCCAGCACAGTTGGGTAAGGGTTACTTTAAAAGTAATCAAAGTACTTTACTGCATTAGTTTTTTTAAAGTAACCAGTTACTTTACTGTGTTACTCCCTGAGTAAAGTAACTCACTTTTAAAGTACTTTTGAGTATTCTACATTTCCTATGGGCAATGGACCACAGGGCGCTAAGCCTACATTTTTTTGTCTCCAAAATTAAAGTTATGGACCACTTGCCCTTCACTGAGATCCAATTCTCCCATCACAGCCGTCACTTTGACCAGTAGAAACACAGAACGATCTGCTGCCGTAGACAACTGTATGACAACAACACCCCAGCATTTTTAATATTTCCTCTAGGGATGTTACCACACAGAGTAAAAGGGGGGAATGATGGTGTGAAACAGCAGAGGCACTTTGTCAACCCGCTGAGTTAACGTTACTGTAATTAGCATCAAGCTAGCAAACAATGGTACATCCTCACGGTCGGACATAAAGTAATAACATTACATTACTACATTACACGGTCTGTTATTTATTAATCCCTCTGTGTTTTTATATTCTTACCTTTTATCGGCTCCTGTTGCCTTTATAAAGTTAACATATCGTGCCGTCATTTTAAGTTCAACACTTCCTGAATTTCTTTCAAATTAAAAGCCCCTTAAAACCTCGGCTGAGAGAATCCCTCCATTTTCTAAATAGGCCTTTATTGTGAAACATTTGTAAGAACTTGGTTGTGGAGGATCCAGTAGCTTGAATGTTTGCGTACGGTGCTTCAAATGTAGCTCCTGCCATCTGCTGATGCTTTTAGATGACTACAACAACATTTCGGCTGGCACATGAACAGACGCAGTGACTCAAATAATAGTAAAAGTCATAAAAATAGGACAAGAATAACCCGATGACATCACACACGTAGTGAAAGACGACCAGGGATAATTGGTGAGTACCACCGTGTAGTGTGTCATGTCTGACGGCTAAGTCATGGCACGAGTTTATGACTCCACAATCGTGTAATGTGACATAGTGACTTTCAGAACAGGCAGAAAGGTCGTGTAGTGTGTACCAGGCATAATGCAAGTCCTGAGTCTGACCTGTCTGTCAGCGAGTCCTCCTCCATCTTTTTTTTTAGACTCCACTGTAGACAACAGCAGCATTTCTTCTACCACGTAGTGAGCCACAAGCTTCATGACTTCTTTTGGACTGATAGGTATAACGTTATCTCCGTTATTAGAACCAAAAGACAGTCGTTGCCGTTTCCGAGCTGAAGGACGTTACAAAGTAACGCGTTATACCCAACTGTGAAAATTAACACAAAATATCAGTAACGTTTCTGCTTAAGAGTTCAGCAGCTAAAAAATAAATCTTACCTTGTATAACAAGTTTGCTTCAATCACATACGCTCTCAACTTAAGCCCTTTGTTTACTTTCCTCACTTCCATTTCTCTTCTCGTGCGCTGAGCTGAACTGCCAATCAGAGTGATTTCATTCACCAACAAGCTCCGCCATCTCCAACGCCTATTCAACATGCTGTATGGGCGGAAAAGAAGACAACAAGACTTAATGTGTACTAACATTGCAGGACACACCGCAGCAACTATGGCAACAGATAATCGCTGACAGCCCAACACTGACCAACGGCCTACCATCGGCTTGGTGTGTCAGGGCCTTTAAACTGTAGAGATTAATGGCAACATTTCGTTACAACTCAAAGGAAAACACTATTTGGGGTCTTTACTGAAAGATATCTAATGTATGGAATTTTGTGGATATTCAGGGTCCCCACAGGATGAAGCTTTCTGACATTGTTTATCCCTGACTTTTCCTTTAGCATCACTATGAAGTTAACGTTTGTGGTATTTAATGTAATGTCTCATCAACTATTGAATAAACTGCTGTAAGATATGATGCAGACATTCATGGTGCCCAGAGTTTGAATTGCAGTATCTTTTGTAATCTGACTTGACATGTCTGGGATAAGGTGGACTTCAGAACAAATGCTTCCCTCACTTTTCCCAATGTTTTCTGGCAGGTGATGAATGATCGTGTTGGTCCAGTCTACGTCATCAACCTTCTCATTTCCAACCTCATTCAGTTCTGCGGCATGATCTTTGAGATGGCGCAACCTAAGGACAGGACAGTGATTGATACATTCACATATATTCACGTATACTGTCTGGTGGCCAGTGTTTGCTTCATGGTGTGCATCGCCCTGGAAAGGTAGCTGTTTGTTAATCCAGTATGTGTGGAGCGATTTCTGTGTCTGACCATTCTGTTGTGATGTAATTCTGAAACTGTGTCTGTATTTCAGGTATTTGGTCATCGCCTGCCCACTGTGGTACCGCTTCAGACGAACCATCAAGATCTCTGTTCTGGTGTGTGTCGTGGTCTGGATCATTCCTCTTGTCTATTTCCTGCCTTTCTTTTTCTGGATTAATTTTAGGGTCAAACGAGTCATTTTCGCCATCCTCCTCCTCCTTCCTCTCCCACTGTTCATGTTCTTCCTTGGTGGAACCCTCAAAGTCCTGTCTGCTTCCATCTCTGTCCACTCTGACGAAAAACGACGAATTGTAGGACTGTTGGTCCTGGTGTTGCTTATTTACATGCTGCTCTTCCTGCCAAGCATCAGTTGGTTCCTGGTAGTGGGAACTAAATTCAACAAAACTTTTAGCAACGTGTCTTTAACATTTCTCAAGTTAAGTCCTCTTGCAGACTTATTTCTGTATGTTTTCATGAAGAAAGGGACCGTTGACAAGCTGTTGGCTTCTGTGTGTTGTTGCAAAATGGACAGTGATGATATCAGTAGTTCAAATTCAAGTTCTATCATTCAAGTTTGAACGATGACAGCCGGCTTCATGTAGGCAGAGAAAGAGGGTGAGAAAGAGAAGGGAGAAATAAAAGGAAAGGATAGAGACGAGATTTTGTCATCAATTGACATGACTTCCAAGCCTTTAGGATATTTTCTCTATACATTTTGATTTGTTTAATACATTTTTCCATTGTCACAACCAGTACTGGGAGTAGTACGTTACAAGGCAATGCATTTCTGTTTTTCCACTTTTGGTGGAAAAAGAAGTTTAAATGGGCTCATTAGTTTTAATTTGTGTCTTAATCATAGCAGACAAAAGTAACCTATCCCCACATTTTTTTCTGTTTATGATTTAACATCATAGTAATGCCAGGCTCAAGGAAGAAGCGCTCAGTCCCTCCTTCTTGTGTTTGTGTGTGTGTGTGTTTGAAAGAAAGTGTGACGGGGGGGGCGCAAAGTGGAAGGTGGACTATTGCATGCAGTGTTTCTGTAAGTTAAAATTAACTCAACATTACTTGGAACATTGCAAAGGTGGTGCTGCTCTGCGGCTAATGCACATGTGTGTTGGACTCTAGGGTTGACCTGCGCACATACACTGTAAATGGTGTGAATCAATCAGTTGGCATTAGACTGTCACTGCACCCAATGGCTGACAGTTTAGTTTGTGGTCCGAGTAGTATTGACCAGTCATGTTTGAGTGGGCATTGGTTGCTTAAACAGACCATGTGTGGAGCAAAAAAAGTGGAACTCAGTTTGTTGAAATGCAATCATGGAACCTTCTTCATTCATGTATTCATGTGGACCTGTCTCAAGTTGCTCACAGTAGACAAAACATGGCAAAACTGGATTTCCCAAAACATTGGTCACTGCCCCAGAGGCTAAATTGTCATCAAACTTATAGCTCATGGGTTCCCACATTTTAAATTTTGTGCAGGGTTTGCACAAGCAGCAACCTCCAGGGCTGAAAATGAATCCAAATCAGTGCAATAACTGTAGTTCCATAGATCCCCATGTTGAAATGCCTTCTTTACAGCAGAAATATGCTTACAGCCTGGTACCAAACGCAGTTTTGGTCGTGATAGGTAATTTCAACATTCATGACAAGTGTACAGGGGTGGTTTTTATAGTACGTATTCATTTGTATTTTATGAAGGCTTTAAGTTACACATAATTATAGATAGAGTGACAGACTGTATGAGAGGTGTACCACATTCTGAGTCAGATCCACCCCTCGCTCCTCCACAGCTCCACCCTCTGGTCAGAATACAGTCACTTCTGGCTCCAAGAACCAACACAGCAACTGTCAAAATGCCAAACTCAAGGCCGCAAAACGGGAGTCCACAAACCAGTGGGTGACGCTGCAATAGCTACGTCCATTATTTTATACATTTTTTTTAAATATTATTCTATGGGTTTAAATTACTGTTAAAGTTACAAAGGATACATTTTGGTGTGTTTGTTTCTGTAAATAACTTTTATTACTTTGTTTCATTATGTCTGTCGTGATGAGAAATTAATGTCAAATGTCTATGAAACAGTTGTTTTTCCTCTCATGGAAAAAAAATTGTATAGTTGTCTTGTCCACCGCTGTCCCACGGCAACACTAAAAACACAATTTTTTGGGGGCAATATTTTGAATGCTATCCTCATGTACACTACTGCAGTCAGTGGAAATTAGAACATCTTTAAACATGACTTTGTCTCGTACGATGTAATAATAAATTGCAGACATCTCTATGTTGTCCAGATCAGTGGTTCCCAACTGGTGGGTCGCAGGTTCATTGTGAATGGACCGGATTTGACTCGCAAACGTGTCAAGTTTGTAAAAAAAACAACGTTGTTTTTGTTTTGTTTTTTGAAGTACAGTGAATTCCACAGAGCTTTTATTTTGAAGTGTCATTTCCTGCTGTAGAATGAGTGACTAATGGACAGCTACTTAACAGAGACAGCAAACTAGATGACATGGCCTAGTACAAATATGACGCTAAATATATTAAACTGACCTTGAACTAATGACACTGCTCTAGATGAAGTGTAAATATTTTCAGAATTTTGTTTTAATAACTGAATTTTTTATACTAGTTGAATTCTGCCTTTACATGCAACCCTGGTGACAGCCTAGGTCGTAGTGTGAAGCCAGTCTTCAGCTTTTCAGTTGGCAATTAGCTCAACAAGTTCTTGACTTAACAGTGGTGTTTAAGGATGTCAAAGGAGTTTGCGACCTGGTTGATGCAGACTAAACATTGTTGTATATCTGCTCAGGCATTGTGCTTTGTAAATAAGAAATACATGATTTCCAAGATACTTTTAATATAAGAAGTTTTGGTTGGGGCAGTTTTGCTGGCAGACCCTCCCGTATTTCTCATTTGTCTTCCTCACCTTTTTTTTTTATCTTCCTCCTTCTTCACCTTCCTCCTCAACATGCCCTCCTTGATTCATTGCTCTGTAGAATTAGTGAGAGCTGTACCACAGCAACAACATGTACATTTCTACTTTGTGTTTCAGGGATTCCCTGCTGGCTCTGTGGTTAAGCCCTGGTAATGGTTAGCTTTCCCTGTTAGATAGCAAGGTTGTGATACAATTTGATCTGTATAGTAGGTGGTGTTAAAAGATTTGAAAAAATGCTGCTGGGGCTGTAGCTTACATCAGCTGCTTCCAGCTTTCACACTGCATTTTCTTGAGGAAATGCACATTCTAGTTATTAAAGTGATTCACTTACTTTTGAAATGAGTGGTTAATGTAACTGATCACACATTTTCAGTAACTTGCACGACACAGGTTATACTAATGTATGTCTTTCCAAAACTGTGTTTGTTTTTGCTGGTTTTGACCAATAATAAAGTCAACTACTGTCTATTTATCTTTATTTAATCTGTTACCAATTGACCTGTTTAACTGTAGAATATCTCAAACAGGTCTTTTGTTGCCCCCATCTAAACTTTTTTTGCAGTGTGTTGCAGGCATCAAATTCAGAATAAGTGTATATTTACAAAAAACAATAAAGTTAATAAGTTTGGACACAAAATATCTTGTCTTTGCACTTTTTTCAATTGAATATAGGTCCAGAAAAGATTTTTAAGTCATTGCATTCTCAGCTTCCTAGATTTTTTCCAATTGGGGGTTGTACGTTCCAGTGAACATTTGCAACATGTGAATCCACTAACACTCAGTTAAACAGTATTACTCGTGGCATAACTTCTAGTCTGAGCTCCATCCCATTTATGAGCTGTTTATATCTTCTCTGCCAAGGAGCATGCCATGTTGTTTCTACAGTAGCCTAGAATGGAAAACCAAACACTGGCTCTAGATAGGGCATCTCACGCTTTGTCATCGGCCACCGTAGCTCTGGTACATGCTTGGCAGAGGGGAGAAAATTCAGCTGGTTGCAGTTTGCAACTTCACCACTAGATGCCGATACGTCCTACACACTAGACCTTTAAATGTTCCACATCCTGCACTTAAAAAACTGGATGGGAAAAAAAAAAACATATGGCACCTCTCAATGTTTAATTTCTAAGCAGTAAGACTCTTGTTATTAACAAACTCATATCTGAACATTAACACATCTGTAAGTGTGTCATGGTGTATTCAGGGCATTATTGAAAAAAGACGATTTGCATTTTCAGTACACACATATCGGAGGAAGATATGAGACATGATGAAACCAAATATCAACTCCATAAACTGATATCTGTTCAGAAGAAGAAGATGATTATCAGTGCTGTACTCATTGCTCAATGCTCACTGTGTGGATGTGGTGTCCCTGATACATGCTTGTGTGCAACAATTTACATGCACTTGCATATTAATGTTCAGAGTGAGCTTTGAGTCATACATTTTTTTTAATTAAATGTAACACTTAATGGAAATAACATTACTGCTGGATAAACATGATCAAGGACATTTGCACCTGCTGACCCTGCAAAGTCTTGAACATACAGACTTAACATGCATGAACTGATAACCACTTCCTTTATCAACCTCACACTAATGCATTTTTGTGCCTGTTTCCTCTCTTCCTTCCCACATTTTAATTTTTGTGCAGGGTTTGCACAAGCAGCAACCTCCAGGGCTGAAAATGAATCCAAATCAGAAGTGCAATAACTGTAGTTCCATAGACCCCCATGTTGAAATGCCTACTTTACAGCAGAAATAAATATGCTTACAGCCTGGTACCAAACGCGGTTTTGGTCATGATAGCTAATTTCAACATTCATGACAAGTGTACAGGGGTGGTTTTTATAGTACGTATTCATTTGTATTTTATGAAGGCTTTAAGTTACACATAATTATTGTTTGAGTGACAGACTGTATGCGAGGTGTGCCACATTCTGAGTCAGATCCACCCCTCGCTCCTCCACAGCTCCACCCTCTGGTCAGAATACAGTCACTTCTGGCTCCAAGAACCAACACAGCAACTGTCAAAATGCCAAACTCAAGGCCGCAAAACGGGAGTCCACAAACCAGTGGGTGACGCTGCAATAGCTACGTCCATTATTTTATACATTTTTTTTAAATTTTATTCTATGGGTTTAAATTACTGTTAAAGTTACAAAGGATACATTTTGGTGTGTTTGTTTCTGTAAATAACTTTTATTACTTTGTTTCATTATGTCTGTCGTGATGAGAAATTAATGTCAAATGTCTATGAAACAGTTGTTTTTCCTCTCATGGAAAAAAAATTGTACAGTTGTCTTGTCCACCGCTGTCCCACGGCAACACTAAAAACACAATTTTTTGGGGGCAATATTTTGAATGCTATCCTCATGTACACTACTGCAGTCAGTGGAAATTAGAACATCTTTAAACATGACTTTGTCTCGCACGATGTAATAATAAATTGCAGACATCTCTATGTTGTCCAGATCAGTGGTTCCCAACTGGTGGGTCGCAGGTTCATTGTGAATGGACCGGATTTGACTCGCAAACGTGTCAAGTTTGTAAAAAAAACAACGTTGTTTTTGTTTTGTTTTTTGAAGTACAGTGAATTCCACAGAGCTTTTATTTTGAAGTGTCATTTCCTGCTGT